GACTCCGGTCCGTTCGATGACTCAACCGTGCACGATTCATTCAACGCCAAAGGTCCTCCCGGTTGCTGATCAAGAGTCACAGAGCTTATAATATGCGAGCAACTGGGTATAAATATTTATCATTACGACGCGGTGTGTACTGAAGGTAGCCCGCGTACGACGCCAATCAGTTGATTTTGAAGGCAGTAAAAGTGCAAATGTGTTTCGAACGACTTGGTGGTGGCGGTAGCGCGTTTAAAAGTCATGCTTACGAAAGGGTGCCCGCAGTTCAAGTACTTTGTTCTATATAGGGTTGTTTGCTTCGGTGTCGTCGGGGTTCTGTGTTCTGTCATTTGGGTTTTTAAATTGTTGAATTGCTTTAAAAAACGATCAAATTGTACAGAAATTCAAGTTCTAGGACTGCTTTACCAGTGCAACAAATTCGTCGAGTTCCATATTAAGAATCATTCATCATATCGCTATAGTCGACAGTTCATACTGGTTATTTATAACCAGCTAATCTTGTATGCTATCTTGGGGTGAAAGCCAACGCAAATCGTATCGATTAACTGCTTCGTCCGGCGGCATGGCAAATATCACACCTCAGCAAAATAAAATCAAACAATACGTCCATCACAACTGATTGGCTGCCATTTTGCGATATCTCCGTCCAATGAATGATAACAAAGGGAACAACGCATTCGCATCTTGGAACTCCTGTCGTTTGTCGTCGACTTCAGCACGACCCATTAATTGGTATCAATTGATTTCGTACGCAAATCTCACCGATGCTCGTTCTTGATTGGGCGTTGATTGCCTTCCGAGTGGCCCTGAAGGACCGTGCCGCGTACTTCAATCAGCTAAAAATAGTCGAGTTTCTCGTGGAATGTTTCAGTTCGGAGGTTACTACGCATCGGAGATTACAGTTTTCGGTTTTTATTGAGTCCTAACCTCCGCAATTCAGACACGAAAATGACACCGTAGGTAGATGTGGAATGCTTATACACATGTTTGTTTATTTGAGCGATACAGAACATCAAGTCGGTATTAGTAGCAGCAGCAGCAGCAGCAGAGATGGTGACGCATGGTGTCTTGTCGATCGGCAGCTGCTGCACCTGCTTGAAATGGCAATAAATTACATGCTCGATTTTCTCCTGAGTGGCGTTAACGCTGTTCTGCAGCTGATCTCTTGGGATGGGAAGAAAAGAGTTTTTCAGGAGGACTGGATATTCAAAATTTCCGTGCGGAATCTTCTAGAACAGCTGGGGCGACGTCGAGATGATGATGAAACTTCTCGAGTTGATTGCCGTATGTCATTTTGCTTTTAATCAAGTTCAGATTGCCACACATATAGTGCCACTGACTGCACTTGAAGTACTGCACTGGGAGGCACACGAGGTACACTCTTCGATAGTGACCGAAATAAGTTTCTTTGTTTGAGATTCGCTTGCGTATTGCTATCAACGCTAGAGTTGGCAGACAGTTTGTTGACGGATAATGTTGAGGGATTTTTGATCAGTTTTAACGTGGTATTCGATGAAGTTAAATTGTATTGGCTGAGTAAAATACGAAGCTTTTGAGAAGAGATGTTCATTCCCATTCAGCATGCTCTTGCGCTCTTGAATTACCTGCTGGACATAGCAGAAGTTCTCTGTAATAGTTTAAAATTTAGTAAAAATTATGAAATCTATCGCAAGAAAATTTAAATCTAGTTTTAACAAATACTACTAACTCGATCTAGATCAAAATAATCATTTTGTTTTGTATAAGGACTGTATCAAAAATAAGTTGTACACAATTTTTTCTTTCAAAATCTATATGAAATATTTTAAAATGAATAAAGGTTCTTCAATCATTTATGTTATGTACTTCTTACAAAGTTAGCTTCATAAAAACAAATAAAAACAATTCTTCTTGCTTCTTCTTATAAGTTTTGGACAGTGTGACAGTGTAAAATATTGTTTGAAGTTGTTTCATGATTTTAGTAGCTTTAGCATCCATCGAAAAGGCTCTGAAGAAAACACAACAATTTTCATTACGCCATTCTGCTGAAAAATGGAAAAAATATTAATTTATATTTTCACCGAGAGCGACCCAATTCAACTTGTTCGCAACTACAACCTATTGAATGCCAATTGCTGACGCTGATGGCAATTGTAAAGAGCATCTTCAAAAAGATATTAAGTGTTCTTAAGTTTTGAAATAGCCAAAAATATACTGTAACGATGCGTCCATAAAATACGAACATGTACTGTCCGAAACCTCATAAAAGGAAGTAAATCTAACATGATACCAGTCCCTTTATGAATATTTTTGGTTTGTTTTTCTCTGTTAAAAACTTTTGTTCATTTTGCAGGATTATTTCTAGAACTGGTTGTGAAAACTAGACTAGAGTAGACTCAAAATAAGAAACAAATCTATAACCAAATTGGTACGAAATATTTAAAACATTTTATAACATCTCTTAACGGAATCCTTCATGAAGAGCCTTCGGTGTTCGATTGATTCCCTTGACGATCCAAAACAATGTAAGAAATTATATGCCTTTGTTACTAGTTATGGTCTAATTTGCAAAATGGGTCATTTGGACGAATGCCACTACTCCTAAAATAATTTAATTTAAGTGTCTCAGCATACTTTTGAATCCATATTGGGGAAACAGTCATATTATTGCGCGGTACGTTAAAAACGTTAGGAGCCTATTGTTGTGTATGGAGGTCTATACTGCCGCTATTCGCATAACAGTCCCATGTCATGTGAATTTCCTATCTACATGGGACTGTTATGCTAATAGCGGCAGCAAATCGAGATTATTTAAATTCGGAAGAACTGCTTTAAGAAGGAAAAATATCCTCCTTCTGCTTCTTCTTCTTCTTCTTCTTATCCTTCCTTTTTGAATGTCAAGCTTATTGCTTATCGCATTTCTTTGCTTATTGCTTGCTCTCAGCTTAGTGTTCTAGATGTATTTCCACAGTTATTAATTGAGAGGTTTAGATAACTGTACCATTTTTGCATTAGTTTTATTGTGTGGCAAGTACAATCATTCTAAATACCCAGGGTAGTAGTGCATATAAAATGTCAATAATAAAAAAAAGTGCTACGAAAAGAGGGTTGTTGAACTTCACATTTTATGGAAATTTCATCAGAAATGGACCAAATTGTGATGCAAAAACGGTAATACCTTGTTTATTAATCAGAGTCAGAATTGTGAAAAGTCAAGGATCCTGACAAAGTGATTTTGAATTGTCTTTGTTCGGTGCCTGGTGTCCCCCACAATGGACACCAGCGTAATAGTATGTATGCTGACGCCTTCTGGTGCGTGTTCCCAATTACGAAAATAATGGGAAAATTCAAAACAGAGAATTTTTTTATAAGTTAAATATTAGCAACAACATCGTTTTACGTTTTTAAATTGGTCATACATTCATTTGAATCCGTTTATTCATATTAATCTATCTACATTCTAAATTCATCTCTGTTATCTGAATTCGTCATCTTCATGGATCATAGATTTATGATCCACTTATGATGCATTTTTGCTATACATATTTGAACAACCCTGAACAACACGGTTATCAAATAATAATGCCTATGAAGATTTATTGAACAGATAATCAGCGTGGGGTGTTTAACGCATTGCTTCAAATAATGTTTCGATATGACTCAAACAGAGCTTAAAATGTTCCTAAATCGATTGACATCCACCGAGATCGAACTATGGTAACCCTATTGGCACAGCCATTAAGTCACATCTTGATTAATCGCGTCGAAATCCGACATTTAAAAATACAACTTCACATATGCTTACACTTTTCTGGCACAGATAGGGCGACATCGGACATCCAACATTGTACGTTTCAAACAAATTGCCAATTACCCACCCCGAGATCCTTTGATCTGCCTTCACTTCGGATCGACGATCACTGCAAGTGCGTTATAATTGATTTAGCCCTTAGATACTTGACTCACCGAACGCCGCACGCCTAACCGGTTAATCAGCATTTAGCAACCTATAACTAAGCTCACCTTCACACGTCAACATGCGCACGTCATAGATCGAGTCTAATTATCTCGACGTCGCCCGGTGCTGTAGATACACAAATTTTGGCGTCATGCCGCCGCCGTTGCTCGGACTTTGATTTCTCATATAGTTTAACGAAAATGCGAAAAACAACAACAAAATGGTAGGATCGTGTACCAAGCGTGATTCTTCTACGTCTCCCCCACAGATATCAGCTAGCAATTTATGTGTCTGCATATCAGTGATTATGGTCTGGTTGTTTCGGGCGACGGTGGCTCCGTCCGTACAAACAAAGAAGTTTGACGTCGTCGGCGCTGAATGGCACACGCCTCAATTCGATCGTGTTATTGCTTCTGTTTCTTATGATAATCAAAACAAGAGAGTTGTTGGTGGACAGCTCGATTAAAATTCATCAATGGGGTGTGCTATTTTTAGAACTGCTGCTACCAGTGGTGGAGTTTGTACGCTACGCAACGTACCCCGCGTGATCCGCAGCCGATCAATTGGTCTTTTATTAAGTGGCAAGTTTTGCAACCCACGGGATTCATTTAAAAAAAAACGGGGAAGCTGGGCCACTTGGAAAGAAACGACGGAAATGTGTACAAAGGGTTGCCATTAAGTGGTGCCTACATGATAGAAATGGAATGGGTTTTAAATTAAACTGTCATTTCATTAACGTGTGACGGGCCAACAGAAGGTGGTCGGCCGTTAAGTTGAACTGTTTTGAGTCAGATATATAAATGTGACTTAACTCTTAGTGGGATTTAATCAGGAAGTTACAGAACCTTAACCGAGTTGAAGGATGATTAATGTTGCTATGTATAAAGCAGCTCTACACATTGTATTTGTAAATAATTTTTCAAAATAGTCAGTCCAGGGACACTTGTAAAGCGTTCACAATACAAGCAGTTACAGGAATTCAATTTAAATGCTACAAATTAAGTTAATGCTGGTGAACTTGCCTCTAATCCCCCATTTCTTTTTCCATTCTCCATTGCAGGATCTTGTCAAGTCCCACTTGATGTTCGCCGTCCGCGAAGAGGTCGAAGTGCTGAAGGAAAAAATCTCCGAGCTGATGGATCGCATCAACCAGCTCGAGTACGAGAACAACATCCTGAAAGCTAACGCCTCGCAGGAAACCCTCTCGCAGTTGACGACCAGCGGAGGCGCCAGCAACACCTCGACGGCAACGGCGGCGGCAGTGGTGGCAGCAGCGGCAGCGGCAGCAGCAGCTACGGCGGCAGCGGCAGCCTCGGCAACGGCACCTTCGTCGGCGGCCAATCCCAGCTCGAACGGTTCCGTTTCCTAGATGTTCCGCAACACTTCCTTATGCTACTCGCTACTACTACTAGCTGCTTATTACGATAGTACTAGGAAAGACGATAACTCGCTGCGGGGTGACAACGCTGGCATGCGGTACACTGTAGCATCAGGAGGAGGACCGGAAGTCGACGCTGATGACAAAGACAACCACCAAGATAACGATGATGGAAAACAATACCGCACGCCAAGCCGGACACCCCCGAACACATGTGAGAAGCACCCTTAAGACGAATGCACATTCGAATACGTGTGTTCTGCAATCACCTAGCATACCAATAAATAGAAAATAACAGTATCAAGCAGAAAGGCAAGCGGATAACACAAAAACCAAGTAACATATTTGCTAGAATTGAGGTAAGATACTTCGTTCATTCTCAAATTCCTAATAAGCTAGAAGTTTTTTTTTAGAAGAGACAGAATGTTGAAATTGATACCAAGTGTTAAGTGACGCCAAAATGAGGAAATCGCACTAATGCTACTAGCAAAACTGTTTTTTTTTTCGGATCAAAGGATATAGTAAACAAAATCGTGGCAATTGTATCAAATACATAGCTCCTCCATCATAGAAAAAATGTGTGCTACACACAACCACTCACTAGATCGTTATGCTATCCTAAAAACAGTAGAACGAAGGAAAGGATTGTTGGAAACAGTTGCAACATTGTCCGGTGGTCTCGGTGTCCTCGGCTTTACTCTAAGGAGCCCAAACACCGCAATGTGGCCAGTGTGAACCACAGCACTGAGATTGAAAATGTCTAAAATCACTACCCTGTCGACGTATAGGTTGGAAGAGAATGTCATTTCGTATGTTATTATTGAATGGAATCTCAGCATCGCTGCACGGAAGTCCCATCGCGAAAGATTGACTTCGACCGTGTTGGCAGTATAAATCCGACCGAATCTCAGATTTATAATGCACGCACGCTCGCTGCTTATCTAACTCAATACCAGTGAAAATATGCCGCTATTATTAAATGAATAATATGGATCTCTCCTTCTGACAGTGCAGCTAAATGCCTTCATATTTGTTGATGCAAAACATAAACAGTTGAAGTAAGTGGAATGGTGGAAAAAGTGTTTTCAATACTCCACACTTCAGAGGTTTTAAACTTGTGCAAGCATTTGAAATTTATTGGAAAAGTTTCGCCTTCATTGGTTGCCTTTTTGAGTTATTTTTACCTTTAAAATTGCACAAAGTTACCAGTTTCCCCTTTTTTTTTTATTCATGTCTAAAATCAGTGGTTATTTTTCAGCTGTGAAAAACTGTTTTACAAACAGCAACACACACTAAACTCGAAAAAGCAACTTAAAAAAATTAATTTTCCTTTCCTTTCAAACACTCGGAGCAAACAAAAATCACACACGATACAAGTTGATATGGAAAAAGAGATGCTTAGTTAGAGAGGTGAAACAAAAGAGAAAGCAACCCAAAATGTGATTCTATTGTACATACATTATAATAACTAAGAGACACGGATTGTTCGAGAATGGGTGGGTGGTTTTATGTGACTAAATCGGATGGGAGAATCAAAAGGCGAAGAAGTAAAACTTTATTCTGTATTTGTTTTCTGCTACTAGTAACATTTTCTCGATCAAATTTAGTGTGATCTAAAAATTCTGGGTGAATATTCCGGGGTATGAGCGCGTGTTTGCGATTTTGCGAGGTCCCAATAGCGTGAGTGAGGATACCATGCTGTAAATATTTCCATAGTAATGCAAATGCACAGAAAGTGTGTGTGATAAAGAAAGAGAGAGAGAGCGAGTCAGTGTGTTAGAACCCCGGGCCCCGGAGGATTGTGCGGGTGACGAATAAAATCTTAAGATGCCAACGAAAACAAACACAATGTTAGGAGGCTGTAAAGAGAGGGAACTCATGATTGCTCCTATCTTCGCGTGAAAGGCTGGGTTCTAGTCCCAGCTTGATACTCGATGATGCTTGAACTAGTTCCCATCACTGCGCAAAGCTCGGAGCAAGTAACTGGATCACGGATAGCCTCGTTATGGGAAAAGAAATAGAACAGATAAAAACAATCACGGAGCGCTAGTTGTTTGAATTTGATCTGATGGAACTGACGAGCAGACATATTCAATTCATCCGATGATGATGAAACAAAAGAAGAATCGGAAGCATGAATGCTGTGAATAGTTTGTAAGAAAATGCGTTTTTATACCGAGCGAACGAGAGTTGCGCGTATTCCTAGGCTGTAAGAGGAACTGTTGATAGGCTGTAAGGAATATCTTGTTTATTTTTGTAGGATCTTTGTTCAATTTTCCTAGGTGAAACGCAATTATTTAGTCAGTCTATTTATTATTTTGTATATTGGTTAACCAAAAAATGAAGCAAAGCATAGTGCATGAGGAGAATGAATGAGAGAAACGAAGAAAATAGTTTTGGAAAGTACATCATATTGAAATGAGAATAGATGTCGCATACGTCGAAGGAAATTAATAAATAGTTAAGACTATCAAAGCATTAACCGATACTGAAATTGCAAAAAAAAATGAGCGAAAATTATTGTGTAAGTGAAAGATACGAAGCAAACAAGATGTTAATAATATAGTCATTATGAAATATGATAAAGAACAGCTGCAAAAATTCATTCTGAAAGAAAATCCCTTAGATACGATGCTCATAACTCCACTTTCAACGTGCTGTGATTCTAAGCAGAAAATTGCGTCTGGAGTGTGACCAGCTCAGCTTTATGTCGGTTGTTTCTATTTCTTTGCTGAGCTTCGGTCACCATGTGCCGTGGGGTTGTCTCTGTTACGAAGTCCTGTCGGGTTACAATCCAGCGCTTGCTTGCAGATTTAGTTTCCACCCTTCCGAAGTGTGTTCTGTTTCACCTACAAATGCGTTCTCAAATTTCTGATGCTATCGGCTACTGATAACATCGACGATTGAGCTCGGCATTCCAGATTCAGTTGTGAAGCCACCATGCACAAATTATATTCAACGTGGTTTGATATCTGCAGAGAGTTCGTGGGGCAATAGCAGGCTGGATTCATGGGTTGCAGCGCTTCCACGGACCACATTTTAGCGATTCGAGAGCTTCTGCTCCATCGATTTCAAATCTGCATACGATCAAATCGATTGAGATCAGCTATGCAAAATTATGCAGGGGTACGAATTTCCGGATAAACTGACACGATTGGTCATCGAGTAATGTGCGTTGTTCGAGTATCGGGCACACTCTCGAGTCCCTTTGAATCTCGAAGGGAGTTACGGAAAAGTGATGAACTTTTGTGTCTGTTATTCAACAGTGCGTTGGAAGGTGTGGTAAGAAGATCTGGGATATACACGAGTGGCACGATCTTCAGGAAGTTCATCTAGCTTCTTGGGTTCGCCGATGAAATCGACATGATTCAACTCTAACGTTGACAATGTCATCAAGAAAATTGCCAAGAAGTATGGAATTCTTCTTCTTCTTCTTCGCATTTCAAGCTTATTACATATCGCATATTAGCTTATTGCATGCTCTCAACTTAGTGTTCTAGATGCACTTCCACAGCTATTAATTGAGAGCTTTCGATGCCTGTACCATTTTTGCATTGATATGATTGTGTGGCAAGTCCAATCATACTTCTATGCCCAGGGAAGTCGAGAAATTTTTCAACCCGAAAAATTCCTAGACTGGACCGGGAATCGAACCCAGCCGCCTCCAGCATGGTCTTGCTTTGTAGCTGCGCCTTTACCGACTGAGCTAAGGGAAGCCCCAGGAATTCTATGTCGTTTGAAAAACGATTTAACTATTGCCAGTAAAATATAGCTATACAAATCAATCATCTCTCCTCATCTAGACTTTTGCCCATCCATTTTATTTCTGTTCAATGAAACACAAATATCGAGATTACAGCGCTAATAGAATAAAATAATGCGCTTTAATTTGCGATGTAATAGATTCACTTCACTTCTTAACTTTGATGCTAGACGCCTTACAATGGTTGTCGGTGAAGCAAAGAATTGTATATTTGACTATGGTGTTCATTTTTTAAAGTAGTCAACGAATTGCTGCCTCGCTATTTGTGTGATCGAATTGAAAGAGGAAGTGATTATCATAGATATAATGCTAGAAACGCGGATTAATTAGGAACACCACATTTCTTGACTTGTGCTTCACAGAATTCATTATTTTTAAAGGAATAAATGTTTTCAATTCGATGCCTAGACACATTAAACGTGCAACAACATTAGCAGAATTTAAGAAACATTGCATTTCACATGTTAAAACTGTTTTTTGAACGGTTATCCAGTGATTTTTTTTATGAATTGGCAAATTATGTATCTTGACGAAGTTATCTCTAACTGATTATTTTATATGGATAGCTGTCATAACGACTTTTTAATAATTATTGTAGCACTGCAAAAACTATTTTGTTCGCCACGATGGTGAAGATGGATTTTTGATTTAATAGTAGTAGTAATTTTTTTGAGTAGTCTACAAAAGTTTGACCCTGTCACGCGTTATACGGATATAGATGACTGAATTTAACATTTGAACGAAAACAAAAATGCAATTTGAAGCTTATTTGGAAGATACCTTGAGTTAGTAGTAAGTTTTCTGGCAAATGTTGGGGGTTCGTGAGCATTCCTGACATTGCTGAAAATTATGATAGCATCAGATTGCGGGGTTGCTAGTGTAATAGGATGCTTTGTTGATTGTCCATTAACTCTTGATCGCTTGTAATACTTATGAATATTTTAAGTGGACAAAAAGGCGACTCCTGGACTCCTGAGCTTTTCCACATTTATATCGCTGTGAAGCAACTGTAAACTCTAGAGGGAATTTATATCTGTAAATGTAACCAGTTCGTTTTGGTTAATTTTTTTTTCTTGATTTGTTTTCCGTGCACCAATGCTACCGACACCAGGATGGCAGCTCCCACACCTGGACCCTACCTATTGACCCATCAACTCATGAACCGGGGACCAACGGTTTTACTTCCCTTCCGAAGGAAGGCGTGATCAGAGATGTTATGCCTCAGAACAACCCGGCGGCGCCGACTGGGATTGAACCCAGGCTTGCTGGGGTGAGAGGTAATCACGCTTACCACTACACAACCGGCACCACTAACTTGGTTAAAATGTTTACATTTAATTTAATTATCTTAAAGATAGAATGTCCAGCTCAAACCTTTGAAGGGGTAAGAGGTAGGACCATCATCATCACATGATGGCACGGAACTTAGAGACGATGGCGGAAACGTACATCAGACTGAAGGCTGAAGCCAGACGGATTGAACTTGCCATCAACGCATTGAAGACGAAATATATGTGAGGAAAAGGTTCAAAAGAAGACCGTGTTAACCTCCCACCCGAGTTCAGGTGACGAAATCGAGGTGGTCGATCGAGGTCGAAATCGAGGTGGGCTCACTGATGACCGACGAAAATAATACCAGTAGAGAAATTCAGGTCAGGGCAGTGGCAAAGAATCGTGCCTACTTTGGACTACGGAAGACGCTCCGGTCAAATAAATTTCGTTGCACCACGAAGTTGACTATCTACAAGAAGTTGATAGGACCGGTGGTCCTCTGTGGCCATGTGACCTTGATCTACGGCAGATTGCAGATTGAAGACGTAACGTGGAGGTGGTGAATGAACCAGTGAAAATAGTACCCGAAAGCGACCCAACAGGAACAGGAAGAAGAAACGCGCAGCCAAGTAGAAATACACCTGCGGACCTTTCGCAGATTACGATTCTGGTGATGTGTGGCCATGGTCCGAATAGAGTGGAGGCGACTTCTTCGGACAGAAGAGGACATCCTGGACTTAGCCTGATTGGTATGTATAAATGTTTGCAATATAATCTATTATTATTATACTGACCTCATTGCAAACAATTTTAGCCCGGAAGTTGAAAGGCGATAGCTCTGTTGAGATTCAGTAACCCATTTCAGAATGCCTGGTCACTCACGTCCATTCCGAGGTTACTTTCACTTACAACAAGCCCCGCATACACGTAGTACCGATATAAAATGTATATTGGTACTGCGTGTACACTTCCATCATCAAAGCAATTCCTGCTTTGTAGATGGCACGTATTTAGTAGGATGCATTTCATATTTTTATATCTAGTTGTAATCAGTTAGATCTCACCGCTTATGTATTGTGTCCTCGACGTGGAAGGATCGTAGTCTAATCTGCAAAATCATCTTTCCCGGTTATTGTCCAGGGGGCAGAACGCCAATACCAAATACGTAAAAAGACACGGCAAACGTTGCTTCCGGGAGTGGAGGCGTAGCACCGAAACACACTAGCACGACGCTACAGCAACACAACTATTCAAAAAAAAATTCTAACCCGGGAATTTTCACAATAATTGATATCCAAATATTTCGTATAATTCAAAAAGGCAACTTTAGCGAGTAGACGACAACATCAAATAAATAACTAGTTTTACTATTAAAAGTGGAAAACACAACATTTATTTGTTTAATTATTTATTTATTATTATAATTATTATTATAGTCCATCTGACTTGGTAGTCTCAATGAAACACTTAAATCTAAATGATCTCATTAAAAATTAAAAATTGGCCGACAGCAAACGATGACGAAATCTGGAGGCATTGATATCAAAGTCAAATAGGTCAGATGAATTGAATTGATGAATCAAGGTGACAATGGAACTATTTGCAGCATAGTTGGTTGCATCTACTATTTCATGTAGTAAGACTCTCGGACGGAGTGTTCGGGTAGGAGCATACAGATTAATTTTTGCTTGGTAACTCAGGAACATCATATTCTGCGAGCAAGACTTTAGCAACGAAGACGACCAGCGATACGTTTCGTCGCTCAGCAAGAGTATCTAAACAGCTTCGAATCGTGCACTCCATACTGCTTGGTAGGGATTCCAGACAACACACGCGAATTCCAGTAGTGAGCGTACCAATGAACAGTAAAGGGCTTTAAAACACAGAGGATCACGGAATTCCTTAGAGATCTAGACGATTTGCTTTGTCGATCGTGGTTGAGAAGTGGCGAGTGTATGTGAGCTTTTCATCCAACCTGACACATAGGTCTTTAACGTGATCGACACGTTGAACTGCAGTCCCAGCAACGTTATAATCAAACAAAACGGCAGTCCTAGTTCGACGGAAACTAATTACGCAGCACTTTGAGATGCACATGATAATAAAATTACGTTCACACCAATCATTAAAGATTTCAAGCAGGTCAGCATAGCCTCGAACGACTAGGTAAATCTTCAAGTCATCGGCAAAAAAAAACGTTACATCGTTCACAAATAAAGAGAAGAGCAGTGGTCCCAAAGTGCTACCCTGTGGAACTCCTGATCTTTTCGAGGAACAGTACGATGTGTAGTTTCCAATGCATACAGTAACTTCACGTTGTACGCACTTCAGAAGGAAGTAGAACATCCAATTTTTTCATGCTCTGCTAGCAGAACGTCGTGCACAACTCTATCAAACGCAGCTTTAAGATCAGTGTAGATGGCATCCACTTGAAGTTTCTTGCATACATTTTCCATACAGAACGACGTAAAGCTGACGAGATTCGTTTCCACGAAGCGGTCAGGAAAGAAGCCATGTTGACATGTACTTATGTAATGCTTGCAGGAAGCAAACA